CTAGCTTACACGGAAAAAAGTTCCCTAGAAAAAGATAATACGTAAGGCGCTTAAGGCTACGCGTGAGAAGCTCGCTAGCTATTATCAGTAGATGGATATAATCCAAGGGGATCTTTATACGGTTAGAACAATACTCGCGCTAGTAAATAAGTTTTAGTTCTTTATTATAAACGATTAGGACGATTAATAGCGCGATTAATATCAAAAGAGCTTTAAGACGGCTCTATCTCCCTACTAAGAGCGTCTTTATTCTTAGTAAGGCCTCCCTATCTCTTAGGCGTCAACCTAAGTAGGCTCACGTCTTAATTTAATACTTAGTGGAAGCAAACGCTAACTATCGTCGCCTAAGGACGAGGTAGTTCAATATCTTAATAGCGATATGTCTCTTTATCTTCTCTCGCTTTCTCCTCTTCCTAATCAATAATAGATACTATTAATATCTCACCCCTCCCATTTTGGAAGGAGAATTAACACCGCTTTCTAGCTATTACTACCCTTACCTAAGATATCCTTTCAATCCTAGTAACTAGTGCTAGAGTTAAACGTCTATTTAATACGGCGCGGGATATCTATTATTATCGCCGAGGACGCTTAAATAGCACAACAATCTAGGAACTAATAATATATCTTTATATATCAAGGTTCGACCTCTAGGAAGACTCTTTTACATTTTTGAAAGAGTTTTTCACTCTTAATGAAATTAAAGCGAGCAAAGAAGAAGAGAGAGAGTATACGCCTAATCAGTTTAAGCTAGATCCAATTAGTGATAATGAAGAATAGGATACATAAGAGGGCGAGGATCAGGACGAAGAGGAGCTTCCGCAGCCAGATAATAGTGATAACGATGAGGTAGATCTCCCTTAATTAGAAAGCACTTAGGCACGCCGCGTATCTAAAAGATCGCGTAAGCGTCCTCGGCAAGAGGATAAGTAATAGGCATATCATTAGTGATTAATATTATAAACTAATTAAACCTCAATTTCTAACGGCCGTCAAAAAAGCCAGTACCATAGCTTAATAACCCTATTTTCTGACGGCCATCAGAAAATTAGTGCTATAGCTTCAGGAATTCATTAGCCCTACATCACACACTATAGTCATAGAAAGAGGCCTTTCTTATAAGTCAAATACCTAAAAATACAGACTAATACTTCATAAATAATGCTAAGATAAGGACCCACCTAAATAGGTTAACGTATTTCACAAGCGAGCGGCTCACACAAGCGAGCGGCTTACCTCAAAACACCATAGTAAATGCGATATTTAAGAACACAATATTTCAACAACTACAAGTTTATTCTATTTAGCTTTCAGTAATTCACTAATTTATAGCAAAAATAGCCTAATTTAGGGGTCTGGGATAATTTAATTATCATATCACTACGTTTACCATAAAATACAATGTATTTAAGCTCTCTAAGCTTGAAATATATGTTTTCAATCCACTACATCTTGAAAACTTTCGAGACCTTCAAAATACTCCAGACCCAATATAAAGAATATATTTATACAGAAAGACTTTACGAGAAGCTATAGTTGTGGATATATCAAGTTGTTATTTATCGCATTTACTATGGTGTTTTGAGGTGGGCCGCTCGCTTGTGTGGGCCGCTCGCTTGTGAATTACGTTAGGTTCGGGTTGGGTTGGGTTCGGGTTGGCGCGGGTTTTGGCGCAGTCTAGTGGTGAACCTCGAAAATATTAAGCCCCACCAGGCGAAAGACACACTTAAATCGGTAGGGGTCGCCTTTAAACTAGTTATTAACTGGTTACTAACTAGATAGCCGGTATAGATCCAGTACTCGTTTAAAGGCAAAGGTGCAACATCAAATGTTTTTAATACGTATCTTAGCTGCCCAACAGAGAAAAAACGATATACATGCTCTAGTATTAAGCGCTGCGAATTCCTTGACCCAGAGCTTGCTAGAATGGGTCATCTTTACGCGGATGAGGCGCTTTTCACTAAGATCGCTCAAGCCAGGCGACGGATAGAGCACACCGAGGATTTTGGGCTACTTCAGCGCGCAAGTACAGCGTAGGTAAACTAATTAAGAACTAGTTAAAGACTAGTTCTACGCTATAATCGATATCACTAATACTTTACTAGTCTATACTATGCGATCCAGGGGAAGTTTACTACAGAGAGAGCTTGTAAAGCGCAAACTGAAAGTTGTCGGCCTACCTTTGGCACGTACGATAAGCAGGTAAGCTCGCTCATTTTAGGAATACTAGTGCCAAACTATTTATTAACTAGTTACTAGAACATTAGTGGTGTTACTAGCTATTATGTTGGGTGTTTTAACGCAACCTGGGAGAATCATAAAAAGCATTTCCATCAGTCTCTAGTTGCGAAAGAGAACTCGATAGATATACCGCTTCTTAAGAGTCTCTTAAGTACCACCTTTGAAGCAAGCTCGAAAACATGCGGTGTTATCGAGCCACAGAACTCTCGAAGGACAAGATGCGGCAAGAACTAGTTATCAACTACTATATAGCTAGTTTCTAACTAGTAATAGGAATGATCCATCCTCAGGGCCAAGGCTCTATCCAAGATCATGGCACGTGCGACGTCGTTTTCTACACCTTTATCCCATACGATATAAGGTCTCACCCATATGCTATCTTCTACTTACGTGGGGTCCATAATCATCCACCGCCACCACCTACGAAAGCTCCATGGTCAATTGCAAGCGAAGTTCTTGATGTTATTTGTAGGAATATGAACCCGGACCTAACACTAAGTGAGTATAATGAAATACAACTAGTTAATAACTAGTTATTAACTAAATTTTAAGGCACATTTCTTCGAAGTCCTGCGCTCCGCGAATTCTGCGAGAAAAAGCAATGTCTTACGCTATCTTAGATTCACTCTAGCTTCGCTAAGAGTGATAAAATTGCAGCTATGATTTGGAAACAGCGAGCGTTACACTACCCATTAGGAAAAAATCTAGTTGGTGTCCGTTATCAAGTTCGAGTTGATCCAGCATTGAAGGTATAGTATTAACTAATTTACTACTAGATTGAAACTAGTTTCTAACTAGTTCTACTTAGCAATACGTCCGCGAAACCTACCACACTACCCATGGGACATATATCTTTTGTGCATTCTATGTATAGATGGTATTTCTCGCATCTCTTGACGCTATTGAAGTTGATATGTCTTACAAACGGGTGAAAGGGGTGATGAACGAGGTCATTTTTGCTACGATGCTACTAGACCATGGAAAGAGTACGTGGAGGTCTATTTGACTAGTCTTTAATTACTTATTAACTAGTTCTCTAGTTATGACACTATTCCGTGTCTTCACGGACCAGGAAAACCCTACGGTATATAAGTTCATCTTTCAACGAGTGTTTGAACTAGTGTCCCAGGCTATTCAGAGACCCGTCAAGTTCTTTTCCATTCATGGTGAAGGTATCAAGGCTATAGTTGGTGATATGTGTCTAAATTAGATGTGTGGTGAGTTATTATTATAACTAGTTACAAATTACTCTCTAACTAGTTACAACTAATTAAGGTTTAGGAGATTTCCTCCAAGACCAAGACCCCTATAGACGTCCTCGAAACTGGCAGCTAACTTATATTATGATATTCTGTGCTATCCATTTTATACGAACGGTAGTTAAGATATACCCTAATAGGCTAGATGGCTCTCATATTGATGCCCGCCGACGCTTAACTGATCTACTTTCCTGTCAATCCTCAAGCGATTATCACACGTTGCTTAACTTGATCGTGGGCAAGTAAAAATATTAACTAGTCAAATACTAGTTACTAACTAGTTATCTAGACCACGACCCAAACCTACGAGGCTGGGTTCAGCATAAGAGATATCCAGTAATTGCTGCTGGTTTATGTCAGGCTTGCTCGGGTATAAACCCTGAATTCTTTCAGAGATTTCGGCCTCATACGAATGCTGTTGAGCAAAGCCATTGGAAATCGTACTTTCTCGGGGTTTACGACACTCTTTTAGGTGCAGTGATGAAGTAAGTTCAATATAACTAGTTAGAAACTAGCCTCTAACTAGTTATAAGGTCACGATTCCTTGATCAGCGAGACATCGATCAATTCTCTATTCGAGAGAGATTTGGTATCCATTATGGCTATCACGCTGATAATATGGAGACTCGTTTCAGTAATAGTATACAGCGCGAAGAGCGGAAAAGACTAAAAGCGGAAAAAGAGCAGAACGATCGAGACAAAGCGCAAAAGGACCAAGATGATATCGACGATCAGATTCTCTGGGAGGCCTCCTCTTTAGGTTTTATCGTTGGTCGGTATAGGTCAAAGACACCTAGAGGGTCAAGATCTAGAGTATCTACGCTAAATCGCTCTCAAAGTCGTTCTCAGTACGTGCCCTTAACTAGTTACCTACTAGTTGCTAACTAATTTATAGAACCCCCGCAAGTCCTGAGCCAAGCGGATTCAATCCCCGTCGCACTGCTACGGTAAATGCGTCTAATGACGATCAATATACTGAGCTTAAAAGCCTTGAGCTTAAGCGAAGGCACCAAGAGATAGAGGATGATATAGAGGAACGGCGATTAAGGAGGGAAAAGTTGGAATTAGAAAATCAGAAACTGAAAGTAGAGCTAGAGCTTTTAAAGAGTGGTAGAGAACTAGTTAATAACTAGTCTATTGTCTTAGTTGTCTCTCGGAATCACATTGCATAGTGAAATAATGTAAAGGGTAAGGTATGGTAAATTGAAGAAAAAATTAGTGGATAGAGAATGTAAGGTAATGTAAGGCGAAAAGCTTTGCAACAGAAAGTGAAATTTTGTTTGTAGGTGTTTGCATACCGTCACGTGCCTAGGTGCAGCGACCTCCGACCCTAGGTGCACTGACCTGTAGTCACGATTAGATAAGGAATGAAGGATATATGCCTCATTTTTCAGGCTAGTATCTAACGTAAGTCACTTCACGGTCGACAGTAGTATCGCTTGCACATATACTACTCAGTGGGAGCTTCCGTGATATATACCTAAAATGACACTGGTAAATCTATACAACCCGTAGACCGACTCTCATCTGCCCTTGTCCTCCCCGGTTAGCTCGCAAATAATATGGAATGAAGCACAAGTTTCTCCGCTCCCCAACCACCGCATTCCGAGATTCTACCGCAATTTGTCTATTCCAAGCCGACGTATCTAGCTCCCCTGCAACGCCATTTTCAGCGATAATGGCCACATATCGGTCAGGCTGAGACCGCTGTTCTTCCCGCAAAGGCGCTGTGGAATCGAATATGGTCCTCTGTATTTCATGCCTTAGCACCTCGCTCTTGATCCATTTTACGTGTCTGGCCGGTTGCGTTACCTTGAAATGATGCTGCTCCCATGGGTGATCAGCATCCTCAACACAATATACAATTGGTCCCCGTGTAACATATGCCACGGGCTGCATAGCTAGAGGATGGGGTCGGACCACGAGTGCTTGCATGGGACAAGAAAATCGGAACTGTGGATTCTGCTGCAGCCACTCTGTGCTCAAATACAGATATCCGTCTCGGACATCCAGCTGCTCGGGGCGAGGGGTAACCTAATTAACACTGATTAGCTCCGGGAAAAGAAACACGCCTGAGTGAGAATCATCCAGGAGCTTCTTACCTCCCATGATTTCGCCCAGCCAGGAATCCTCAGCCGTAATCGCAGATCAACCGGTGGTCCTTCAGTCCGTATATCAAAATTCACATCACCATTCCACGGCCAATCAGTTCTCTGCTGGACTTTTACTGTTGACCGTGATACTTTGAGACTCAAAGTGGCTGAAGTATATAGATGCACATTGACCACAGCACTTTGGTCCTTCAGAGTGTGACTCCAAAGATAGCCACCAAGGAAGCCCAGAGTTCGAGTGACATTGGGCGGACAGCAAGCGCATTCAAACCACTCATGGCGCTGCGAGATATCTTGGTCCGAGGAAGCTAACTGGTTGACGTAAGTGAAGGCCTTTCCATCCAAGCTCATACCTGTCAAAACTGCATTGTAAAGGCAGAGTTCCATGATATCCGCGTAATGACTGTCTAACTCCACCTAATATACCTTTTTAGTATTTGCCGCATTATAAAAATTTTGCGAGGTAAGCCATACCTGCAACAGCCGCTCAGCTAGCATCATGACCCCAATTGCAGCACAGGTCTCAGCGTAGCAACCGCCTTCGTCAGTGCCTTGGGGTAGGGAGTAGTCAATCCCAAAGCCTTCCCACTTTTTCACGGACCCGATGCCACCCGTAGCATATGACTTCTTTTCTACCATGTTGGACCACAGCTGGTGTACAGCAGGCAGGAATTTTGCCCCGATTCCACTGGTAGGCTGATTGATTCGGACTAGATCGGCGACTGCTGTGAGGAGGTACATAGCACGGACTGAGTGCCCTTCGATTGTCTTTTGATCGACGATTGGTGCATGTGCTTGTTGATACCTTGGAAAGTTCATTAAATGATTCAATACAATCCATTTTGGGGCCCGTAGTAGACTCGTACCAATAGCTTCTTGCAGCGGGGAAGTACATGGGCAGGTCGTGTCCACTTTCACCGCGGGCCTCTGCCTCCACGTCATAGTAATGCCGTTTTTCCTTTCCACCTCGGGGGTTTCCTCTCTCTTCGATGAAGAATTGGGCCAGCTGAAGATGTTTTGACAAGCCTGTGGCTTTATAAAGGCGCAGGAGAGCCAGCTCAATCTCGGGGTGACCAGGATACCCGGGGAGTTGGCCTTCCTGAGCCCCAAAAGTCGCTGCCAGAAGATCCACATATTTGAGAATTGGCGACAGCATGTCGTCGTTCTTGTAGTAGAGGCTGTGAGCGAGGGCGGCTTCAATGAGATGGCCTGCATTATAACTGTAGTAAACATTTTTTGTCAATATTCACGGACACAGAAGAGGCAGCATAGGAAGGAATACAGTTCATGCATGTCTCGCAAATTGGTGAAGCGCTTCCCCGGCTCAACGACAGAATAATGAATATTGAGGTAGCCGTCGGCGTGCTGCGCTTCTTGAATCATATGCACTAGTTCCTTGACTGCTGCGTCGATCTCGTCGTCGAAATGATCCGTGAGCAAGTAACAGGCACCTTCGATCCACTTGGCAATATCGGAATCCCAGAATTGATGGTTCGGAATCGGATAGACCGTGGGAGGGTCTGAGTAGCTAGGATGCCATTTGAGACGGAACGCATCATATCTACCAGTCCGCTTGAGCATCTGAAGTTGATGCCGCAATGTTCGAACTCGCACCACTTCACGACGACGTGCCCAAAATGAGTCCTCCGCGAATGTCGTCGCAACGAAACTCTCTTGTGGGTACTCCATATTGTCCCAGTTCTGTTCTCATCTGGAAACGGGAAGAGGAAAGAGGAAAGCTCCATTAGACCTTTCGCAAACCCGCATCCCTTATACGTGCCTCGGATCTGGGAGCCCCTCACCGGAAATGCAAGATCGGAGATTGAGCGATCCCGTTCCACAGTTGCCTGCCTGGGGAACCCGAGAAGGCTCTCCGACGGTGCTTGAGTGTATACTCCGAGCGGGACGTCCGCAGGGCAAGACTCCGGTGGAGTCGCTCCGGTGGAGTCGCTCCGGCGGAGTCGCTCCGGCGGGGGGAACCATACCCTGCACCGACAAGGCGTTGAGCTTGTCGTTTGCTGCTGCTACGGCCTTGGGAAACCCCACATCTGGTACCGCTTAAGCTCTGAAATTCTGGGGATCCGCACGCACTCCAGACAGGCTCTGGCCCCCAGATGTGGGGTCCCGATCCTCCGGTCGCATTGCTGGTACATATATACCACCGCCAAGGCAGATCGCGTGTCAAAAGCACATGAAAATGTATCTCGTTCTCACATTTGGGAACCTCGCTCATAATTCATGTTGAAATGGGTCTTTTGGAGAGGTTTCTTCCTAAAGATGACCGGTACGAGTCCTCAGCAAGACTCCTGGGGTGCTAACTCGGCTAATGTCCACTTTAGCTTCGCGGCATTGTTGCTGTACGGCATGGTCTTTTCGACCTGTTTTAACGGATACGATGCTGGCATCATGACAGTCATCTTGGCCGATGAACAGTTCATCCACTACTACGGTATTAATGCCGCCAAGTCCGGTCTGGTAGCTGTGATCCCATGGGCGATGACCGGTAAGTAGTTGAGCTTCCCAGGTTGGCTTGTTTGAACTCATCTGACCATGATATTTGATCAGGCGTGGCCCAAATCTACCTAGGTGGTACACTCGCTAGCTGGCTGGGACGTCTGTGGGCTTTGCGGATCTCCATTTGCATTATGATCATTGGAGTGTACGAAACCATCATCTGGGATGTCTAGAGAAGTTGACTGACACCGATATAGAATAGTTGAAGTCGTTCCAAACAGCTTTGGTGTTTTAATCTTGGGCCGACTCCTAACGTGAGCTCTCTGGATCGGTAGTACGGAAAGTATGCTGACTTGCTTTTAGCGGTCTGGGATTCGGTTGCGTCTACATCGCAACCAATCTATACGTGGCCGAGTGTGCGCCCACAAAGCTTCGAGGCAGTTTTGTCGGTACTGTGTCACAGTTTGGCTATCAGTTGGGCACTCTTATAGCCTTTTGGGCTGGCTACGGAATGTCCTTCCACAAGTCCCCCTATAACATCGCGTGGCGTGTCTCCAATATAATCCAGATCCCGATCGGCATCACCTTCATCTGCGTCTCGTTCTTGTACCCCGAGAGCCCCCGGCATTTGCTAGAAAAGTACCCCGAGACGCCCGAGCTCGCTTTGAAGGGTTTGAGTCGGCTGAGATCAGGATCCCCGACGGATGAGCGCATCCGTACCGAATTCCACGAGTTGGTTGCCTCACATGACTTCCGTCGCCGATATGATCCGGGATATATTGGGCTTCTCAAAGACAAGAGTATGCGGAAGCGTCTTGCCTACGGATTCTATGTCGCCGGTCTTCAGCAGGTATTTTATTTCTGTACGTTGAACACATTGAAAGGGAACTGACACGGTTATGTATAGTGTGGCGGTATCGCGTCGCTCACCATGTATGCTACGCTTATTTATGAAAGTCTCGGATGGGACGCTGGTTCGCAAGCACTGGCTATCAATGGCATCCAATCCGTCCTACAGCTGCTCATTGTGCTGGTCAACACCTTCACCGTAGATCGGTTTGGTCGACGAGGTCTTCTGTTGACCGGCTTCTCGATCCAGACACTGGCGCTGTTGGTCATGGCTTCTCTCTGCACCGCCTTTCCTTCCAATGGGAACAGAGCGGCTGCTATCGTGGAGGTGGCCATGCTATTCATTGTCGGCTTGACATACTGCTGGTCCAATGGTCCCATCCCACCTGCAATTGTCTCGGAGATTTTTCCCCAGCATGTTCGAGACAAGGTGAGTCGGAGTTGACTACGGAAAAATAAAACAAAAAAAAGGCTGACCATTTTTCATTCTAGGGCTTTGGACTGTCGATGCTCGGCCAAACCTGCTGGCTCATCTTGCTGACGGAGTCTTGGCCATCGTTCAATGCTGAAGTTGGGGGCAAGAGCTATTGGCTCCTGTTTGGCCTCAATATGATTGCCGGGGTAAGCTTGATATAGCCGATTTTCATTTTGGAATACAGCTAAACAATTCCCAGCTATCTGTCTACTTGATTCTCCCGGAAACGAAGGGCATTTCTCTCGAGCGGATGGAGAAGATCTTTGGAGGCGTGGATTATGTCGAAGCAGGCGAGATTGAGGGCTCAGAGAAGCGCGAAGTCCGGGCATCAGTGACCGATGATGAAGAGAAAGCGCCAACGAGCCACGTGGAGGATACTCCCACTGTCTTGAGGTTATAAGATTAAATTCACATTGACACAGCAAAACTTTCAGCTACGCCCCTCTCCAGGCCCAGCCAAGAATAACCAGGAAAGCAGCATAGGAGTTTCCGACCGCATTGCATTGATGGGATGTTAGTCTGGGAGGGAGCAGCGAGAAGTCTGTGGTTGAGTAAGCACCATCTCTGTTCATCCAAAGGCGACTTGCGACTGTGGCGTTGAAAATGAGACTGCCCTAGTCAAAGTCTTTGGGGGTTCATTTAGTATCAGCTACAACAAGAGTCAGACCCGACAGAGTAATCCAGGCTGAGTAGATGGGGATCACGGTTACTGAAATAAAGATAGAGAGTATGATATTGCTATATAAGCGAAAAGACGCAATTGAGGGACTTTTATATGTTAAATTTGTCCCTCATCTTCATTATACGCTCCTCAACGACAAAACCTCCTAGAGCCTGAGTTAACCCTAAGCTGAGAATCTTTTTAGAAAGTTGCTCATACACTTTCCGTACACTGTTAGTTTGTAGAGTTGAGGAAGCCCACAGAGACAAGTCAGCCTTGTCTGAAGCGCCAATAAAGTGATCATCTAGGCAGGAACAATTATCTGTTGAAGACTAGCTCATGGCTTGTCCAGTCTGGACCCCTTGGAAATATATTACATTGGATATAGAATGATATTACCGCCCCCATCCATGTCTTGGATGATCAAGGATTCTAGTGGTTGAATTCAAGAACTGTGCGGACAATAGAAATTTAGGGTGCGAAATTTTATATAGCGTAGGACTATATGAGGCTGTGATGGACTAATAACAGGTTGGTGGAGGATCTGATCCCTCCGAAGGTTTTGCAGTGAAAATGGCCACTTAGTTCCTAATCATTGCCCCGCCTGGTTTCTTGATTTGACCCCTAGTACAGTAACTCTTCCTCTTTCTTGCTGCTTCTTCCCTTATCGCAATAGAAATTGATAAGAAGAATAGTTCCCGAAGCTTAAAAAAGGTGCATTGTGAAATGATCGTTTAGTGTAGAGCCGACGCAGAAACCTGGCTATTGAAAATTGATTTGCACCCCCTTCCCCTTGAAAAATAGAATAAAACTCAAAAATAAACCAAGTACAACTGCCATTTTAAGTAAGTGGTATGTCAGCTCTACCCGTTGTCCTCGCTAACTAGGGCAAGGCAACAAAGTGAGCAGGGTTTGATCCAATAATTGAGCTTAGAGTGCTTGCGGCAAGGAATAGTTCCCGGATGGCAAAGTTACACAACTTCACAGGCCATCGATATGGAGTAAGCAAGGCAATGAGCGAGTAACTATCAATTCCCCTCAAAAGTCTTTTTGTCGGCCAGATGAGTCTTCTAGTCTCTAAATTCCGAGTAGGCTGAGTGGTATGTTTAAGGAACGGACACTGCCACCTTTTTTACCTCGATCCGAACCCAGCGCGGTGATAATTAGCTGAATATCATGAAATTAGGCCTACTGGTGAAAATGGGCCTACCGGTGCAGCGCACCCTCACCGGGAGGTGGGGGTCGCTTACGTAGGCACTAATAACCCACTTCCGCGGCCCCACTGAACCAGCACTTCCGAACAAAACAAATCTCGGTAACAGCTAGTCCCCACGCACACCTGAGTTTGGTTGGGGAGCGTGGGGTTTGAGCGCTGCAAGGAAAAGCTAAGCACTCTTGGTGGAAAGCTTAGAGTACTCCACGTGCAGAAAACAACGACGTTAATAGGATTTCAGGAGACAAGGATGATAATAGGATTCTCAAGTATAATTAATGGGAATGGCAGTATCTGCTCTCGGAGATTCTGCTATAAATATCTATATTGCCGCTAATAGCAATGAAAGGATTCACTTAAGATTTCCACTGACAGTTTCACTTCACCATGGCGTCGCAAGCACTTCTCTTCGTACTTGGTCTTGCAGCTGCTGGACAGGCCGCCCGTCTGCCTGAGAGCTTTAAGGATGTTTTCTTTGGCTGTCAGGGCGATGAGACGGCACCAGAACAGCTGCATTTCAACTATGCGGGTGACAGTGGCATGACGATCAGCTGGAATACAGCGACGAAACTTCAATTCCCCACTGTCCGATATGGACAAGGCTCGCGGCTCGATCAAATTGCCTTCTCACAGGTGTCGGTCACGTATCCCACGTCGTCCACATATAGCAACCATGTGTTTATCGACAATCTCGCGCCGGACACAGAATACAGTTTTGCTGTGCACTGTGCTGATGAAAATGACCGTCATCAATTCAAGACGAGCCTGCCGGCGGGAAACCCTCGCCCATACGCTTTTGCCTTTTTCGGCGACCTGGGAACCATCGGTCCTTTGGGTTTGACCGATAACAAACAGAAGGACGCTCTTAGCCCTAATGAAATCACTACGATGCAGTCTTTGAACCAGTTCAAGGACCAATTTGAGTTTATGTGGCACGGTCAGTCGCTTTTCTCATTTCCTATTACAGTAGCACTGACGAAAGGGCTGGTTAGACGGTGATCTCGCTTACGCCGATGATTGGCTCAAGGAGGAGATTGATGGCTTCTTGCCTAATACCACAATTAAGGGCGGAGCTGCAGTATATGAGGCCATCTTGAACGCGTTCTACAATGAGATGGCAGGAAATGTTACCATGGATCGCCCGTACATGGTTGGCCCAGGTAATTCTATACCACTCCACGGATCAGCGGGGTCCATATCAATCCAATGGCTTGAAGGGCTACTAATGCAACCACCCAGGCAACCACGAGGCAAACTGTGATAACGGAGGCACCGGTTCCTACACTGAGAGCATCTGCATGCAGGGCCAAACCAACTTTACCGGCTTCCGAAATCACTTCCGCATGCCCTCTGAGCAGTCCGGAGGCCTCGAAAACTTTTGGTACTCCTGGGACTATGGTATGGTACATTTCGTTCAGTTCAACACCGAGACCGATGTGAGTCTGGACCCTGGTGCATACACTTCGGGATCCTCCTGCTGATTACCTAGTTTCCTGATGCCCCAGACCTTCCTGGCGGAAGTGCCGCGGAGAATGCTGGCCCCTTCGCGCCTAACGGCACGCAACTTGAGTGGCTGAAGAAAGACCTTGCTTCCGTTGACCGCAAGAAGACACCTTGGATCATTGTCGCCGGCCATCGCCCTTGGTATGTTGACGATAGGAAGTGCGACTCGTGCCAGGCGGCTTTTGAGCCAATTTTGCTGGAGTATAATGTTGATATTGCTCTTTTTGGTCACAAACACTTTTATGAACGATTGGCGCCTATCGACAATGGGGTCCCTGATCCAAAAGGTCTGGATAATCCTTCCGCTCCGTGGTATCTTGTAAATGGTGCTGCTGGTCACTTCGAAGGCTTGTCGTCCCCGAATACTCCGTTGGAGAACTATACAGTCAAGGTAATTGACAAAGTTTATGGATGGAGTCGCTTTACTGTTCACAACTGTACCCATATCACACAGGACTTTATTGGTGAGTCTTCTCAAGCATCCCATGTATCGGATTCAAGCTCTATTCCTAACCTGGCTCTTTGGATCACATTAGCCAGCGCCAATGGCACTGTTCTAGACACGGCCACGCTTTATAAGGATCACTCTGGATCCGCAATGAGATAATACCTCAGACCGCAGTGGGTGTCTAGCAGACAGTGGAATCAGATGGTAGGATCTCAGTCCATCAGTCAACTGGGACCATGAGACGTAAAATACCAACTTGAATATTCATGCAATTTTAATTAGTTCTTTGGCAAATGCAATGATTTCTATAAAAAAGGAGTGGGGAAAACTGTATGCGGTAGGTACATAATATTGAGGGCAGAGGCATCGGGGGCAAAAGTCAGGGCCCCAAGGCATTGGGAATGAGTGGGTATCTGACTTGTATTCTGTCAAGCCTTAGAAGTTGGCCAAAATAATAACCCGTAGTCAATCCGAAATCATATCCAGCAGCGTGGGTACATATACACATCATGCTGAAGTGTTGTCAAGCGTCTATCGCTTGCGATTCGTATAAAAATACTATTAGGGCGCTCATCTGGGGCACGGGTGTCAATTAAGATGGTTGCACTACAGAAATCACACTCCCTAGTGCGGCAGTGCAAGAAGCCCTTGAAAATACCATTTAAAATTAAGCTGTTTACATTAAAATCCACACATGTATTGGTAAGTAGTTGTTCACTCCACTAGACCCAAGTTGACCTCGCGACATGACAAAAGATCCCGTCCACTACCCCGTCCCATAGTGAACGGAGCTGAGTCAACCGGCAGGATGCTCTACCTCCGTGTCAAGTCGTTCTCACGTTCCACGTTCTGGAAGCTCGCTTGATCGCTAGCTCTCTCAATTGATTGTATCCACCGCAGATATGCCCACGCTTCATGGATCATCCATTCTCCAGATCAGAAATGTTCTTATAAGTGTTTTCGTAGAAAGTGGAAAGGATGACTCGAGCTCATCTGGAATAAAATGGGTGGTCTTGGTCTGTCGGAGTTTTCCGCTGGCTAGCTAGAACCCCGAAATGTTAACCAGGCAGTTTCAGGTCTTTAGGCGTGACCGACGCAATGCCTTGTGCTATAGGTATTTAGGATAAAACGGCATTGCCAGTTGCTCTCGTAATGAAAAATTAATTTCGTATTATAATCGTTCGACATAAAGTAACATCCGACTTAGACATTGACACTCCTATGGGTATTCCCATTTAGGACAGTCCCGTCCCGCCCATAGGTGGGATATAGGACCGACCCTTAGTCCTATAGGTGGGTAGGGAAAAGGCCGTCCTACCTATAGGACTCCTATAGTCCTATAACTACCTATAATATAAGGAGGTATAATTAATGTATATTATGTAGGAATTTTTAGTATTTAGGTAGTAAAATTATAGTCGAAAGGTAATAAAATAAGAAAAGAAAGTGAGGTTTAAATAAGAGAATAACACCTATATTAATCTATAGAATTTTAAAGCCCTTAAGCCCCTAAGGATGTCTTTTCACCTAACTAGAGGCCCGAATCTAGCTTTCTAGCATTATAGGCAGAGAGACTAAATTATTATTACTCTTATTAGATAAAACACTCTTTCGTCTCTTACTAGCCTAAACAGAAGATAGCCTAGAAATATCTATCTTATCTATATTATCTATATTATCCACCTTATCCTTAGTATCACTAATTAGCTTAAACCCTTCTATTTACTTAGAAGGTTTATTTATTTTATCGTCCTCGTAGATAGATAGAGATCGAATAAAAGCTAGCTACTAATCTTCTATCTTAAACCTTGTTATATATATAAATATTATTAGGTCTTAGATAGTTAAAGAATTTAGACGACCCCTCTAATAATAATAGATATCCTAGGCTAAATTAAATAACCTTTCTATATTAGCACTAGTAGTAAGGATAGAGAAAATATCCTATACTATATATACTAGTATAGGGAACTAATATATATAATCTTTCTAGAATAGACGAGGGCTAATTAGGACTAAACCTAAATAAACTAAAGAAATTAGACTAAAGATAAGACTAGAAGTAAGAGAAGAAGTGAGAGAAAAGTGAGAGAAGAAATAAGCTTACCTCCTTAGAGAAATTAGGATAATTTATCTTAATCCTAGATAGATTTAGGCTTAGAAGTAAGTAATTAATTAAGCTTAGAAGCTTAGATAGAAGCCTAAGATTTTAAGATTAAATCACTCTCTATTTAATATATCTTTATTCACTCTTAAAAGCTTACTTAATATAAAGAAGTATAGTCTTTATCTATCTAGTTAGGGCTAGAAAAGAACTATAACTTATATTAAGGGGCTAGGATTATACTATATATATAGATATTACTAAGTTCTAGATTATCTATTTTTATATAGTACTCTCGAAGCTTATTTTTAGCTAATTTAAGAGCTTTAAGTATTTACTATTTCTATCTAGCCTAAAAGGAAAAGTAAGTAAGTAAGACTTAAATAAATCCCTTTTTCGCTAATCTTAACTTCGATTTTTAGCTCTTTAACCCTTATTATATACGTTAAAGTGCTAAAAGTAAGAGTTAAGATTATTAGAAAAGGGAGAGAATAGAGGAGACTAACCTTTTTTCGCCTTAACTACTAAATTAAAGCTTTAAGGTAGTTAAAAAGCTTATTATAGATACTAAAGATACTATAGATAGTAATATCCTTAGTCTTAGATAGGGTAGTAGTAAATTAGAAGAAAGGCTTAGTTAAATAAAGAAGATAATTAATTTAACGCTATTCCTCTAGATTAATTATTAACTATTTAACCTAGTAGGTAATATAGTACTAATTTAGATTAGATTAAAGCCTTTTAGCCTAGTAAAGTATTAGATAAGTAGAATTCTAATATATATAGTGTCGGGATTGGTAGTATATGAAAATAAGAGAGATAAATAAATGCCTAAGGGTCCCTATGCGGCAGGGCAGTCCTTAGGACAAATATTTGTAGAGAGAAATACTACCTCCCGTAGAGGTCGGCTACTACTGCGGCGTAGTAGCTTACCCCAGGAAGATGGATGAAGATAAAGATAAAGGGTCTCTTTAGTCTGCCTTTATGAGAGAAAGGTAGTAAGAGAATAATTGAGATGAAAGCTCTTTTTTTTTTATTTAGTCTGGTTTCTAGGCTATATTTATAGACAAATATTCAGTTCATCTGGCTAATTACCTAAGGTAATATTCGCCCGAGGTAATCTTGCCGTAAACGTGCTATTGCCCGAGGTAGGTAAACGTGCTGTTACCCGAGGTAGGTAAACGTGTTGTTACCCGCGGCTATAGACAGGATAGGCCTAATAACCTCGGCCCGGTAGGCAAATGGAAAGAGAAAGCATAGTAAAGGCTGAAGTGAGAGCAAAGTGAGAGATAAATGAGAGATAACTGCAAGATCAGATAAAGGCGGTGAGAAATGGCAGAACCAGAACTTCAGCGGGGACTTCCATGTTGAATTGGAAGCTCTAGAAATCTGCAGTTATAAATGCAGACACCTAAAATCCTGACAGTTTGGGTTATGGGTCTTTAGCCCAAAGCCCATTTGGGTTGGGCTTTGGGCCGAAGGTTTGGGCCCAATTATGGGCTTTGGCGCAGTCTAATAATATAGTAGGGTGGTTATATACAATAAATATATATCTTAAAGTACTAACTATAATTTCTACTACCACTTTTTTACCTTTACTTCTATAAGCCTAAAATTAATGCGACCGATAGAACCGCTAAACCCTAAGCACGTGCTCCTGCTTGCCTGTCGGAGCTAAGCTTTCTGACTGTATGGTACCGAAAAGGGCCCTTGTTAGTTTGTACAGCAGTATAATTTTGCTATTGTCGAAGTGAATGGGACTACTCTATACAGCTGACAACAAGTGCCCAGTCATTCTATTACTGAGCACCACGAGACGTACCGAAAATTAATTACAAGTGGAGGCTGCGGAAGAGAAGTTTACAGTTGGTGTTTCTAAGTTTGAAACTACAGTGGTGTAACGTAAGTATTTGACCTCGAGTACTTCGGCCTAGGACCCACTTTTCTAATACTGCCAGGCAGAAACCTCTGAAATTCAATTCAGTCTAATAGCTAGTATGCCACCCCTCATACTTAATAACATCAGCTACCCTGTGAGGCATAGTTTCTGATAGATGCTTGAATAATTCAATATCTAGGCCTTCCCAGGCTTCCTGTGCAGCTTTTAGCAATAGATCTAACGTAGATTCGTTGTTCGGTAGGCGCATTAGCTCAGGATAACGCTTAAGAATTTCGGCTTTTAGCAGCGCCCAGAGGTTCTCGATCGGGTTTAAATCAGGTGAATAAGGAGGCCATTCCATAATCTCGCAGTTAAGCTCATTAAGAGCTTCCCGTACAATATATGCAGTATGAACGGGCGCGTTATCTTACTGAAAAATAGCATTATTATCAATACTATTAAGTAGCGTAGGTAAGATACGCCGATAGAGCTCTTCAATCGTACGTGAAGAAACACCACCTCTTCTAGACGTAGGATCTCCGAATAATGGAATTAGGCCTGATCGACGCGGTAAGCCAGAGAAAGCAGCCCAAAACATCTGCTTAATTTGCTTCCCTCGCGCCGGAACCATCTGAACCTGAGAGCCTTCTTTTGAATGCTAAAAAAGCTGGTCTTTTGGACGTATAAACGTCCATTCTTGCCGCTAGCCTATTCCACGTTCAACTGTACATTCGTCTGACCAGTAGACGCGGGCCCAGTCTTCAGGAGTGAAGTGTTGGTATTCGAGTGCCCATTAAAGCCGTTTCGTAGCATGTTCAGGCGTAAGTGCCGGACGCTGCATTTTCCTCCATTTTCGAAGACCCATTTCGTGGGTTAGACGCCAAATTGACTGGCGATGGACCTTAAAATCGACCTCTCTAAGTAGATCTTTAATCAATATCGATGGCTTTTCTTGTATAGTGTCGTAGATATAGTCACGATCCTCTTCAGTAAGCTTCCTTGGAGCGCCTAAGCGTGGAAGGCTTTCTTGTTTTTGACGCTTTTCCTCTTAGGTAAGGGTATATTGAATTGTTGAGCGTGGAATATCGGGAAAGCGCATCTTCTTAATGGTTGTTGCACCCCAGCCATTTGTAGCGTGTAATTCGCAGATCTTGGCCCTAGTAAGGCAGTCAAGCT